GTTGAAAAGGAGTACCCTTACAGTAGTTGTACACAACAAAATCACTGGCAATTCACCGCTTAGAGCTTGATGTTTGCTTGTAGAAAAAGTACGTCCAGTCTCCTATCTTACTATGGTCTTAACAGTTTCACGAACCTTTCGATTTCATCATAATTAGTTATTTTATGTATAGTAATGATGAGTAGGAGCAAGAAGAGGGGGATACGCTGGACCACGGAAAAGATCCTAGAAGATTTGGATTTCGCCAATGATAACTTGTGTCTAATGTCACACAAACTTGAAGATCTACAGGCGAAAACTAACAAGTTGACAGAAGAGGCAGCGAAGACGGGACCTCAAGTGAAAGTAGAGAAGACAGAGGTGATGAAGATACCCAACCAACAACAGCACCAGCAACAATAAGCTACAATCACCATCAACGGGAGAAACTTAAAGGAAGTAGCCCCTTTCACCTACACCTATCTAGGCAGCACTGTTTCAACTACAGGTGGCACAGACGAGGACGTCAAAGTCAGTCAGGATCGGAAAGCCAGCAAGACAGGCGTTCATTAACCTGAAACTAGTGTGGAGATCTTCTGCACTGCACTCAGCATGACCAAGATCCCGATTTTCAATACCAACGTCAAGTCCATGCTTCTGTATGGCTCAGAGACTTGGCGCGTTACGAAAGACATTTCCAACAAACTAAAGATATTCATCAACAACTGCCTATACTGGCTCGTTACTGTAGCTCAGATGACAAGAACGAATAAGCAACGAGGGAGTCTGGTGGGTGACAAAGCAACCAAAAACCTATCGCTCAACAAATATGCAGAAGGAAGTGGAGGTGGATTGGGCATGCACTGAGAAGACCATTCGGGGACATCACGCGCCAGGCCCTCGAGTGGAACCCAGATGGGAAGCGATGAGTTGGGCGTCCGAGGTGAGGGTGACATGGAGATGGTGTGAGGAAGAAATGAGAGCTTCAGGGTTGTTGTAGAACCAGGTTCAGAAGACTTCAGAGAAGAGAGTGCACTGGAGACGTGCTACTGAAGCCCCATATCCCATTAGAAACCCAAGGGATAAATAATAATGATGAGTAGTGGCTAGCAGTGAAATCCACAATGCGCATTTCGTCCTATTTGGGACTCACCAGTCAGCTGGATGTACCTATCTACCAGTGAGTGTTGTTCCTAACGGGACTCGGGAGCGATCGTTTCAAACGCCAGAGCGTTATCCACTACACCATCGAGCCACGACAGCCTCTTTTTATGCGACGGGTATAGTTTTAGTGTTACTGCTTGTAGTACAAGCAATTTTCGTCTTGTCAAACTCTTAACCCTTTCTTATTATTTCCACTGTCGAAAAGATTATTACGCATCTACTCTATGTTGTGACCGAGTGGAATTACGGGTGTAGGTATAATGATATTGAGACTCAAGAGACACCTCAACCGAATACTTTTACGACTGACCTCTCTCAGTACCCCCTTGCTTCGCTGAGTCAAGGAAAATCAAAAGACGAAGACGGCCTGTGACTGCAAGAACAACCTCAACTTTACTAGACAAAAACAGGGTATACATATATATATTTACGTAACTCTCAGAAAATGAAGCCATAAATGAACCAATCCGATTTGTTGTATGACTTCGAATTTGTCCAATCAGGTTATCATGTCAGTGAATGCATAAATCATGATTTGATCATGACCTGAAAACAACTCCACTATTGGCTACCTTTTCTATCGCTGTGTATCACTCGCCATTCCTGATTTCGGGTTCTTTCCAGCACTACCTGTCTTAATGGTACAATTATACACTATTGTTTAATAATATACTGTTAAATGGGTGTGATATATACATAAATACGATTGTGTACAGCTTTGAAAAATGAACAATTCATCAAAGAAGAAGAGTTTTCTTCGCTGAATTATCTCTTCCCTCAATGAGAGTGATAACCTACAGCAGTTCTTTGATTTAAGGGATTTTTGCATGACAAAAAAAGAGACATCATCATCCTAAAATTACTGGAGGTTAAGATGCACTATAGTAAGTAGTCCTTACTAGAGCATGATACTTTATCGCATTGAGTAGCAAGGAAACAGAGAGGAATGCCCCCTTCAACCGACCCCCCCCGCCTATGGAACATGACAGTTACTATTACGATAGATTTAAAAGTTATGGGAAAACTTGTGATAAGGCAAATATCCAGGTGACAAGTTGTGAGATATGAATTGTATACAGAACGCTTAAAAATGAAAGTTGTTTGCCATTAGCAGGGCATGATTAAGTGGAAAGTGCCAACAAAAAGGGAGGAATGTTAGTTTGTGGGTGTTTGCTAGATAGTAAAGAGGCAGAAGATAATATTTGGCCTTAAACAAGTGCTTACTAGCATCTTCATATTATGTCGATGCTTCAACGCAGTGAGGTTATGAAACTTCATCAGCTGAAATGGTTTGGACATGTACTGCACATACCGAGTCATCACTTACCTCGATATGCCAGGCTGGGGGATGGCCGAACCAACACGTGGCACCACTTGATGAAGTCCCTAAATGTTGGTCTGAGTCGTGTTGGGAGATGAAGGCATCCTGTTCAAGGTCCCCAAAGACGATAGAAATCAGTGATTGAGGACTCTCGGTGACATGGCTGAATATCGGTCACAATGATGGCACAGATGTATTCATCCCCTGATATCTTATCAAGCTTGAATCTTACAGTATGAAATAGCACGAGTGACGTTTTCTGAATTGAAAAAGGATCACTTCTGACGGTTAGCAGTTGGTCATTATTATTATTTGTTCCTTGAGTTTCTAGTGGAATAAAGGACTTCAGCAGCATATAGCCATTTCACTCTCTTCTCTGAGGTCTTATTAACCTGGCTCCACAACTGCCCATAACCTTTCACTTCTTCCTCACACCATCTCCTCCATGTCACTCGCGGACGCCCAACTCGTAGTTTCTCATTTGGATTCTACTCGACGGCCTGGCCTGGCAAGTGATGTCCCCAAGGACATTCCATGTCCCTATGCTTACTTTTGCTTTCATCGAGAGAAGACACGTCGGTCAAGTGGTTCTCCGAAGGCTTTCATCAACTAGCATCATTTCGTCCCCCCGATTCCTCTATGCTTTGAAGTCTGTTTAGCGATTGGGTTGATTTTCCAGGGTAGAATAGCTAGTCCCACGTTCAACCTTCCCTCTTTCACTTGGCTTAGGACCGGCTAAACTAGTGAACTAACCGAGGTTTTAACAGTTGATACATCCCCCCAAGTCTCACGAACTACATTTTTTAACATGTAAGCCTTCAACCGATTGTGGTAAATAATCCTCAAGGAATGCGAACTTGCAATAGTATCCCCTTGATTTTCCAAGTGAATTCTGCTAAGAAGTGGAGATAATTCAACAAAGAATCGAACTTTGGACAACAGATACGCCTGTTTCCATGTTCACTGTCACGTTAACACATGAAAAATACGAAGTTATTCCTGTTTTCTTTAAAACTTACAGTAAGCTTCAATATACATTCTGACATGGTAAATATCACATCATGCCTCCTCACTTTCAATCAGGCTGGTTTGAAACACTAGTATTTACTTCGACTCTAATTGTTTGAAGCAAACTCCACCTTTAAATATCTTGGCATACAGAAATGAAGTGAGTGTATAGACTGGCCATCGAATGACAACACTAACTTAGCTGTTTCGTTCAAAATCTGTCGATCAAATATACAATATGGTGAGTTAAGCGATCGACATTGTGGAAGAGTTTACAGCCACAGCCAGTGATCTTCGCAGAATAACATGTGCACATAATACAGCACAATACAATGAGTTGTTCAATAAACTACAGACATTCATCAACAACTGCTTACGCTCGCTACTGAAGATCAGATGGCCAGAAAGAATAAGCAACAAGGTGCTCTGGGAACGAACCAACGAAGCAAGAACCTATCGCTCAACAAATATGCAGGAGGAAGTGGAGATTGATTGGGCATGCACTGAGAAGGCCGACTGAGGACATCACGCGTCAGGCCAGTCCCTCGAGTGGGATCTCCATGGGAAGCGACGAGTTGGACGTCCGAGGGTGACATGGAGGAGGTCGTGCGAGGAGGAAATGAGAGGTTGTGGGCTGTCGTGGAACCAGGTTGAAAAGATCTCAGAGAACAGAGGTCACTGGAGACGTGCTACTGAAGCCCTATGTTCCACTAGGAACCCAAGGGACTAGTAATAATAATAATAACAATGAGTTGTTGTGATTTAATAAAGATTTTTAAGCGTAAATGATGAAGTCTTGATTCTCTTCATGAACACTAATATCTGGAAGGTTTCAGATGTAACTTCCTGATAAGTGTTGAAATGTACAGAACACTCTTTAAGACTGATAGTAAAACATGTGGCGGAATAACGGTTAATGTGAAGATTCAAGCTTTATAGAACGTCAGGGGGTGAATACATCTGTGCCATCATTGTGACTGATTTTCAGCCACTTGACGTCAAAGTAGGCAGTGGGTTGGTATACATAACACATGTCCAAGGCATATCATCGTCAGTAGAATTCCATGTCTTGCCTAGTATCCTTCCCCTAACCCCCAACACTCCACACACGATGATCCCACCAAACGTGAGCAACAGTACATAGACATCGATGATCGAAAACCTGTAATCGCTACATATCAATATGAATTTTTTTTTGTCACTGAATCCCTACTCAGTTAAAGGTCACCTTAGCAAAGACTAAAATAACCAATCAGATTTCTGTATTTTATAAAAATCTACCATCTCAACCGAAATGGAGGAATCTAGTTGGTTATTACGATCGTTGCTACGGTAGCCATTTAAGTCACTCTCAGACTTCGATATTTCGTTTGAGAAAATAATTTCCCATGAAATAAAGGAATATAAATTGACCATTTCATCAGTTGCTAGGGTGTCCCCTTTAAAGTTATCCATAATTTTTATATACTCAAGTTAAAACAATAAACTCTACTAGATGAACTGAGAGAAAAAGAAGAAGAAGAGGATATTGACAATTAAATAAGTTCAGTTCATTGCAGTCAAATATATGTGGGACTAGAACTTTGAACGACAACAACAACAACAAAAACACGAGCAAACTATATTACCAATTTAATTTGCACTTCAAATTTAGCGAAATGAAAAGTGTAAACAAAAAAATTGTAAACATTGAATACTGATCGTTGTTGACAGGCAGAAATGATCAATAGAAGTAATTACAACAACATTGAAAAAAAGGTGTTGCTCAATGCATTGTGATGTGTAACGCCAATCAAATTATCCTGTAATAAAGCAACAATAACAACAACAATAACGAACTGAGGAAATTCGTTTTGTTATATTTAGTCGTTCAACAACACTATATAATACAACACAACGACTGTTGTTATGTGTACAGTTAACTGATTTGTAGGATTAAAAGTCATGTTCACGTCCATCTGATGAGTCCAAAACACGACGAAATGAGCGTCATAGATCCTACTACTAACTACTATCCATTGTTAGTTAATATAATTTAAATACAGGCAATATCGAGGCATCCGTGCAGAAGCTCGATTAATTCGGTCTACTCAACAACGTCGTACGAGAAGTTGTTATCATAACTCAATGGTCTAGTGGATAACGCTCTGGCGTTTAAATCGACGGGCTCAGGGTTCGAGTCCTAGCGCGAAACAATATCGCTTACTAGCAGGCAGACATATTCGCCTGACTAGTCTGGGATAGAATGAAATGGGCATTCTGGTTTCCAGCATCCATCATTCGTAACGAAACTATTGTTTATTCTTACTTTATCCTCAACTTGGTTGATTATATGGTTGCTTAATGAGTGAGTGGCTTCTGATTTCTCCTCTTTATATGATAAACTATAGGAGTTTTAAAACCCATTTCCATGGTTTGACTACTGAGACTGTTTGTGTAAGTACATGAAACTTTTACTGTTTATTGATATACTTGTTATTCTCCGTTGTTTTGTTGCATCGAATTGTCTGACCTCTATTGGTATATGGGCTCCTGCTCCTATACGGATACCTGAATGTTAATTATGATAAATTGGTTGGTTGTATCTAGCAAGAGAATCCAGGATGCGCGTTCCGTCCTACTTGGGACTAGTCAGCTGAATCTACCTGCACCCCAGTAAGTGATGTTATTTCCCACTGGGACTTGAACCTCGTACCCATCACATCAAATGCCAAGGTGTGAACCACTATGTCACACAGGAACGATAGCCACTTCTTGTACAACGGGTAGTAGTTATTACTATTTATTGACAAACTTGTTATTCTCTGTTGTTTTGTTGCATCGAATTGTTTGACCTCTATTGGTATATGGGCTCCTGCTCCTATGCGGATACCTCGATATTGCCTGAATATTAATTATGATAAATTGGTTGTTTGTGGCTACCAGAAGAATCCAAGGTAACTTTGCTGAGGATATCTTGAAAAAAAACAATCTCAAACTCGATAATGGAAAATTACTTTATGTTAACATAGAGGACTGCATTCTCCAGCCATTCAATGATTCCTGGCAACTTGAAGGAATAGACTCAAGTTATCGACTACTTCTGTATATGTCTACCAACTCACCTGCGAATGTGGAGTCAAAATATGTAAGCACTTCTATGCGTATTGTTTTCTAACGTGTTAAACAACAATAACCCAACTAACTGTAAAGAAGTCTCAGTGTATCTATCAGAATTGCTTTGATTAAACATCGTTTTAACGTTGATTACAGCATCAATATTGAAAGATGAAAAGAAATTTTTGCTGTCTTCTCCAAATCATCGTCTCACATTGATCACATAACTTAAATTGAATACTAGATCAACTCTGGTGCAGTGAAAATCAGTAAAAACACTTAGCATACATGTTTAGAATAATGATCTTTAATGTTGGTTTTAAAAATACTCAATCGAATTATGAAGCATCACTGAAGATGATATATTTATGCTAAAATTGAAACTCTTGTTCAAGAGGAATAAATCACTGGCTAGTGTTTATCAGGATCTCTCAAGAGTACTTCCTAGTGTTGTTAGATTACATACTTGGACTGTGACCATAACAATTGTCTCAACCTTAACTAATCCTAAGAAGAAGTGTTCATGACGTGTTCAAATAAAAGATTAAGAATTCTAATAAATCTTGTTAACTTCATTGTAATAATTAGACACAAGTTAAGATATTTCAATATACTCTAACAATAATGAGTAGTTGAAGTGTAAACTGATAATGGAATAATTGGCATTATTGTGAGTACTAATAGTCAAGGAAAACTAAACAGTGGAGATTCATCGGAAAACAGCTCAACTAGGCTTATGCAAACATTGAACAGGCTGTTAAAGATATTGTTCAGTATTCTCAAGAGGTAAAACTTCCCTAGTCATAAGCGTGGACGAATCATCCTGAAGAAATTAGTTTTCAATAATCCCTTAATGTTTGATCTATACTTTCAAACAAATAATCCAGAGATTCAGAAAGTTATTACTCTTATTTGTGTGAAAAACACTCACATCTACACTGTTATGGTCTCCATTACGATTATTTAGATCCTTCGAAATAGCCCCAAATTTCTGAAGCCTTTTAAAGCTAATCACCATGCTTCAAAATTTTAAGAGATATCTGATTGTTATTATTATCCTTATTATTAATGCCGCCAAGTTTTCGATAGACGTAGAATAACACGGATGACATAGTCCTGTTAGGTGAAGATGCAGAGTCTTCTGACCACTTTGAGTGGCAACTTGCGAATGTCTGGGATGTATTTCTCATCACCCAAATGGAAATTGTTGTTCCAGGATTACTCTTCAACGGTGTCTCGGCTGACAATAGAGAGTGCAGTGGTTGAGTGTGTCGACCACTTCACTTACTTGGGAAGTAGGATCAGCCCTGCCCTGCTGGCTCAGTGGACAATCAAATCTCTACACCAATACAAAAGGCTCGGCGGGCTTTCGCCACCTGCAGCGACACCGTGATACCCCATTGTTTATTAAGGGTCGACCATACTGTGCTGTAATCCACTCTGTTCTACTGCATGACTGTGAAACATGGCCATTTAAGGTGGAATACGTGAGAAGGCTTCAGTTGTTTAACCACCGCTACCTTCATAGTATAGACCGTATTCCGTCGTGTCACTATGCGAGTAACGCAGAAGTCAGGTGTAGAATTTTAGGGAGAAGAGGTAAGACAGTTGACACGGTTGTGAACCTTCATTGACTAAGATGGTTGGGACATGCGTTACGTATGCCTAGTCGCCGTCTGCCTGGTCACACAATGTTGGTCGAAGTAGGTGGAGGCTGGAAAATGGCTCGAGGTGACCAGACTAAAACATGGCACCAATGTATGAAGTCTCTGACTGTTGGTTTGAACCATGTGAGGCGATGCAGACTAGGTGGTTGGGGTCCGCGGGACAAGCGAAACCAGTAGTTGCAGACTGACTCTAGGTGATATGGCTGAGGACCAATCTTGGGACGCAGGCGCATACACACACCTTATGCTCATCTTAACCGCTACATTTAATCTCATCGTTCCTTCTTATCTTTTACTAATTCCTACTTCCCTTCTTCATCTTCCATAATTATTCCCTTGTTACTTGATGTGCTGATTTGATGTGTGGCAACTTGGTTCTTTACGGAGTGATGCCTGGTCTCATGTTAATTTTGATGATGAGTTTTCGTCCTTCTCCACCTTACATGGTACGCCAATGTACATGGAGGTCAACATATATTCCGAACTCTTCTGTAAGTGTGTTTAGAATAGAATGAAATGCATTTCTATCTAGTGTAGTCGATCTTTAAGAGACATTCGAATAGCACTCCCAAGTTGACTAAAACCACCGGCTGACTAGAAGTGAAGGGATCTTTCAGTCAGACGACATGGTTAGTGGACTCAAACACTTCCCCCTCCCAATGTTTTACGTACCATTGATCCAGACCAGTAGTATCACAAGGATGCGCATTCACAAAGTGAGATCCGTATCCTGATATTCTCAGTAGCTGAATTATATTGTTTGAGTTTTCATCTACATGCTAGAAATCTTCATCGGCGTCATTCTCTATTCAACTAGAAAAGTAAGATTGGTTCCTATGAGTGCCTCAGTAATACAGTTAAGTGAGATGAACTGTTCATCAATTCTACTGAACTTGCCGATCATCTTCTAAACGCAAATCGACTAGTGATCAAGAAGAATGTTTGATGAAATAATACTGTGTAAAACTGTATTTCTGTTCACCATACCAGAGGGAATACTTGAAAGACACCATCTGACCTAACCATCTCAGAAGAGAAGATAACGAGTGTTTGAATTGAGGAATCTTCAGTGACGTAAGTCATTGAAAGACACCACTGAAAACTTCTTCACTAGTAGGGATAAATACTGCCTCTAGGTGAAAGAATGTGACTGTTCTCGGGTGTTTCCGTGTTCCAAGACGTTGTACCTAATATATAATGTTACCTGACTGACTATATAGCCGTAACCACCTTAACATTCGGATTCCACCGTTGATGGTTGTTCAAATCCTGGGTAGATAGGAAAAGTACTGAAGCGACAGGTGTATTACAACGTACAAAAATGTGAGAAATACAATGGTTTATATAATCATTCATCCATTCAATTCAACATTACTGCGTAACGGTCCGAGTTGCCACAATCAATCATTATCAACATAGGACCAGGCATTACTGCGCAACGGTCCGAGTTGCCACACCTCACGTCAGTTCATCAAGTAGAAAGGTAGTGAGGTGAAGGATGAAGATAAGTGAATACAGTCAAAAGAAATATGAAGTACGCGAAGAAAAGAAAAAGGAGTGACAAAATGGTGAGATACAGTTTAGTGTAGTTAAGATGAGGATAATGTGTGTGAGGATACATCTGCGCCACCCACATCGGTTCTGAGCCATATCACCTAGAGTCAGTCTCCAACCACTGGTTTCGCTTGTCCCGTGGACCCCAACCACCTAGTCTGCATCGTCCTACATGGCTTAAACCAACAGTCAGAGACTTCATACATTGGTGCCATGTTTTAGTCTGGCCACCTCGGGCCTTTTTCCAGTCTGGACCCACCTCAGCCAACATTGTGTGATGAGGCAATCGGTGACTAGGCATACGTAGTACGTGTCCCAACCATCTCAGTCGATGAAGGTTCATCACCTCGTCAACTGACTTACCTCTTTTCCCTAAAACTCTACACCTGACTTCTGCATTACTCACATGGTGACACCACGGAATACGTCCTATACTACGAAGGAGGTCAAACACTTGAAGCCTTTTTATATCTTCCACTTTCAAT